CTCGGCTGGTGGTGGGGCACCTGTGTGCCGATTTTGAACGAAATCGGGGGGGACCCCCCATTGACCCAAAATTTTGATTTTCCCGTACAAACTTTCCTATGGGGAAAAAGTGAAATTTTCCTGCAGGACTGTGTCTGGGTAAACGAGAGCTTTCGATTGATACCCATTTTTACCATAGCACCACTTTTTTGTCCGTACAAAGGCGATTTTACGGATATTTTACGAGTCTAGGGGGCTTTACGGGCCTTAAACGTCAATGCAACGGGGACCGTTTTGGGGAAAGTTTCTCGGCTGGTGGTGGGGCACCTGTGTGCCGATTTTGAACGAAATCGGGGGGGACCCCCATTGACACAAAATTTTGATTTTCCCGTACAAACTTTCCTATGGGGAAAAAGTGAAATTTTCCTGCAGGACTGTGTCTGGGTAAACGAGAGCTTTCGATTGATACCCATTTTTACCTCTTTGTGACGTCATTTCTAGGGGAAAACGGGTCATAAAGGTTTCCCTCTACCGGGGCCTTTTTTCCCCCTACCGAATCTGTGCTGTGCTGAACCTGTGCTGAATCTGTGCCAACTTCCGTTACATTCGCTCCCGTGCCTTCAGCATTACGAAAAATGGCAACAGCCCGTGAGCAGCATCAGCGCTCACGCACATGTTCAAGGAAAACGCCATGTAATGGACTGCTAACGACGGCCCTCTCCACCAATCAGCGCTCGGCATCTCGAGCGCTGATTGGCTGGTAGCAAACGCGTCATATGTGGGTCTCATTTTTTTGCGATCAGTGAACGCGTTATTTAATACACAGTGGCCTATGGAGAATGGCACGCGGAACTGAAGGTCAGTGTTTTATTGCTTCGTGCATGCGAATGGGGATATTTGAGTGGCATTTGACACCATTTTCGAAATCTACAGTGAATTTCTGATCGACTCATGTATATATTTTTATGAATTTGACAGTATTAGTGCTACATAGTCGGTGTTTTATGTTGGTGTTGTTTCTCTCGACCAAGGCTATATAAACCAGGTAGAACGCTCCCAACGAAAAAGTGGTGACAAGCGATAATTAGTTGCCGCGACCCTCACTTGTTCAAGACTATATCCGCAAGCAGCATTTACAAGCTAGCGGAAATCGACCAATCGGCGCTCGGCAATACTCAACGCTGATTGGCCCGATGCTCGTGACGAAATTGCGGGGGACTGCAGCTATAACCCTATGGCGTTTAATAGAATTATGACTTTTGAAAGGGATTTGCATCAGTTTTTGTTGGGTTTGAGGCCATTTTTGAGCTTGGATATTCTTTCCGTGACCTTTGACTATATAATAACGACATTTAATCATGACATTTCTATATACTACCGGTGTCACATCGGCCAAAAAGACCGTAAGTACATGGGATAGACGGACCACTGCTGATATGGGGCCACACATACCGGCGTGTGGTCATCGGAGGTCCATGAGGGCTCGACATGGGCCCTTTATGGGTCGGCATAGGCCCAGCGGGTCCAGTGCAGGCCTACCAGGGGCCGGTGGCATATAATGTAAGGCTGTTTAGGGACGTTGAGGGCTCATGGGGGCCATATAGGACCATTAGGGACCACATAAGCCAATCAGGGGTCCATTTAGGCCAATAAAGGCGCTTCAGGGACTTGAAGAAACCATTCAAGAGCCGTGGTGGGCCCATGAGGGAACGGCATTGGTCCATCAGGTGCAGTCAGGGGATGTTGTACGGGTTTCTCAGTGGCCCATTTGGGCATATCAGTGACCAATTTAGACCCAGCAGGGGGCTTTGTAGACCTATCAGGGGCTGGTGATGTTTTATCAGGGGCCAGCGTTAGTCCATCGGGGCACGGCATATGCCCATCAGAGGTAATTGCGGGCCCACGCTGAACAATGATGGCCCTTCAACGGCCCCTAATGGATCTAGATTGACCCATGTTCCATGATGTGTCATGTATGCCCCTATGGCAGGCCTACTCAGACCCCTGATGGACATTCCCGGCCTCTGATGACCCTATACTGAATCCTGGTGGGGCTCTAAGAGTCTCCAATAACCCTTCGTCAACCCATCATTACCATACGCTGGCACTAGGGGCCCCACATCAGCCGCAGGGCAGCCCGTGCCATGACAGCATGTCTTTTGGGCCGATATTACATCGGTAATATTAATCAAAATCATGATTTTATGGTGCCATTATATAGCTAACAGTCATAAGAAATATATTTCAACTCGAAAACAGCTCGAAACAGCATATAATCTAAAAGAAACCCCTCCGAAATCCAAAAGCCTATTCGGGTCCATAGAGAATAACTGCGGTCCCCCGCAATTTCGTCACGAGCGTCGGGCCAATCAGCGTCGAGCACTGCCGAGCGCTGATTGGTGGATTTTCCGCTAGCGCGTGAGTGCTGCTCGCGGAACAAGAGTTCGTCGACAATCCTCCACAAACGTCTGTCACCACTTTTCGTAATGCTAAATAGCCGGAGCGTACCCCCCTGCTCTCGACCTTTGTCTTGGACTCTTATTCTATCTTTTCTCGAAAATGCTTGCCATAACCAGGTCTTAACTGTATCTGTATAAAGGGAATATGTGTTGAATATGAGGAGAAGGTAGTAATGACCATTCTGCCTATCAAACTGCCAGAAGGTGTGCTTGTAAGGTGATTGAAACTGCAGTACGGTTGCAGATGTGGGTTTGACATTAGCATTGTTGTTGTAACCCCACTTGCTCTAATAAAATGGCAACATGGGGTTATGTACCCACTATTGCACAGCCTGGTATCAAGATGGTTGATATGTGGAGGATAATGAAAGCATAAAAACTTTTCTTTAGTGAATAGGAGCGTTGCGTCTTGTGACTTATGTCAAGTCATTTTAAATGAAATGATTGTGATTGTAACTTTTACTTCAATTAATATTATTGCTAGTTTTGACCTTTTTAATCATCAAGTTTTATGTGTACCAATTTCATATGCCTGTGTAATGTCTGTGCGGCTTTGTGCAGTGAGCGTGTCTTGAAACAAACCAATTTATTTTGTACCTTTTTTTACTTCAACAAATGTATGTCAAAGGACAAAAATGTCATGTCTATTATCATTGACACTGCTACAGCTAACTTTGCCTATATTCCTATCTTTCAGAGGCATTCATCTGCTTTCCAGTGCAGTACCTAGGAGGCTGCAACTGAAACTCGCACAAAGGCAACCAAGTGTCACTTCATCAGCCTACAGTAACAGCCCATCTGTAATCAAGATATGGGTGAAGTGGCATAGAAGAACAACCAGTAAACATGAAAAGATGTATTTTGTTTTGAACCATTTCTTAGCATAACTGAACAGCAAAGTGCACACTTACTGCTTTTATGTTTGCCCTGTGTGCACTGTGCAGTTTTGAATTATTTTAACTATGAAATGTTTTTTGCTAACTACTCTCTTTACATAAGCTTCCTTTGTCATGCCTGTGTAGTGTGTAATTTTGAGTTTACATGCATGATGTAGGCATGTTAGCATGTATTTCCCTTGGCTTCATAAAACTACTTCCAAGCATTTGTTATGGACATTGGTGCTACCTATATATGATGCTTCAGATGTGTCCAGTAGTTGATCAAGGGAGAAGAGTAATAGGACAGCTGATAGGCTGATAGCTATTACCAAAAATATGTGCTTGTCTGCACTTCGGGCTGTTCCATCATATGCAACCTCTATTTACTTTCTTGCGTTAGAAACACCCCATCTTTTGTTTCTTTCCTGTGCGCCCATTGTTTCCGTGGTGCTATAAACGTCAAGTTTGAAGTTGGTATCCAAGTGAGCAAAATTTGCATTATTTCAGGCCGTCTTGAATCATTCGTCTTGAATTATATCCCTAACTGACATCCTGTTATTTGTCCTGCAATGTCTGTGCCTGTGTCCGCCCTTACCTCCGGCTCCAGCCTCCAACCAGGCCTGCTGAGCTCTGTCGCCGGCGCGGTGTGTCGCAACGTGCTGTTTCTCCACTCCACCCGACAGCTGCTAGGAATCATCCTGTGCCATGCGCCATGCGACACAGCAATTGTAAGCTGCAGGTCACATTCGGACTGATTGGCTCCGCATATATCATCCGGCCGAGTGCTAGTCGATATCAGGGACGTGGGTCGGACTGTTGTGGCGGCGTGCACTGTGTTGGTTGAAGTTGTATTTCTGTTAGTGAAAAGCATTAATACATAACCGTGGCCGCAGCCCAATGTTATTGTGGATTTCAGAGGGACTGACCAGTCAGGAGGGCCCCATGTGGGTATAGATCCAGTGTCCAGTGGGATTGGCTTAGATTTCCGGCGATTGATAAACGCTTCTATGATAGTAAACCTATTGAGTTATGAGGGGAGGTCACGTGAGGGACCTGACCTTACTAAACTCTTGTGAAAACACGACACATACGAACGGTAAGAAACCGACAGCTCTTCTTTCTGCCAAGTGTCATCTTTCTGTGAAGGATTTCTTGGCACTGAGTGTCCAGAAATTGCGTTGTTTTTGGACTGTGTAGAGGCTCACGAGCGATAACATAGGTCAACAACCTGACGTACCTTAAATATGCGACTTATACCAGAAGATCCAGCTTGATCAAAAGATTGTACATGTCAAATTTCAGCTCTTTAGCTCAAAAGAATTTTGAGTTATCGTAAAAACCGTCAGTGTGGCGCCGTATCGCCTCCCCGCGCGGTCGGAAGGTAAAAGTTCGCCGGCTTTAACTAAACAAATAGTTGTCGTATCGCAAATTCATTGACGGCGTTCGAAGCGTCGTTCAATTTACTTTCGAAACATATCCTAACATTAACATTTATCTGCCTAGCGCAATCTCCAACAAGCAAAAGTTCCGTGCATGCATCCTCATACAGTGTTAGCGGCCGCCGGCCGCCGGCCGCTGACCCACATTCGCGTCATCAGGGAATGCCGCAACTAATTTATTGTTTCCAACTTTTTTCCCGGAGCGTTCTACCTGGTTTATATAGCCTTGGAAGGAAGGATGATAGATGACTGGAGATGGCGAAGGTGGCCCGTGGCAGCCAACTTGTAGCCACCAACAGGATTCAGATCAGATCATGCAGCATGCAGAGCGATAGCACATATGAAGAATCAGTTCCAGAATAGGTTTCTTGTGATATTTCCAGCAAAACTTTCAATTATTTAATTGTTTTAAACAAGTTTTAACTTCATTTGTCAGTTGAATGCGCCAAGTTCGTCTCCAAAAAGTGAAATCTCACTTACAGCCTCTCGCCGTAAATCTGAAGGTTGAGACACATAATCAACTGATATTGCACTTTTCCGACGTTCTTTTATCAGGTTACTGTCATGCTTACAGTTTAATTACCTGAAAAAGTAATATAAATATCGGAATCTCAAACAACAACACCGTTGCCTAGCAACCCCAATCCACTTAGTCCCACATTTCATGGGTCATGAGTCCCAAGAGTTGATGTAGGGGCCATAAAAGCCGGTGTAGGGCCCATGGCCCTTTAAGTTCCAACATTGAGACTCTCAGAGGCCAGCGACGGGGCACCAAGAGCAGATATAGTGCCGCAATAAGCCGACATGGGGCCTGAGAATCAGTGTGGAATTCCAGGAGCCTGCGTGAGCTCTCGGAGACCTTCGTATTTCGTAAGGTCCACAAAGGTCGTTGGATCCTCTGAATCTGAACTTCTGCGGGGACCCTCAGAGGCCAGCATGTCTCCTGGCACCTGCCTGCGTTGAGGTGAGACCCTCCGAGGCCGTCGTAGGGTTCTTCAGAGGCCAGCGCTGGCCCTTGAAGCCTTCGTTAGGCCCTAGAAGCCGTCAAGAGGGCCCTCAGAGGTCAGCATGGCCCCTGGAGCCTGCCTGCGTCGAGGCCCTCAGAGGCCGTCGTGGGACCCTCAGACGCCAGCGTGGGCCTTTGGAGCTTGCGTTGGGTCTTAGAGACCATTGTGAGGGCCCAGAGAGGTCGTCGTCAGGGCCCTCAGCCCGTCAGGGACCAGTCCTTGGGTCCTCAGAATTTGTTGTGAGGGCCCTTAAAAGCCTTCGAGAGAATCATCAGAGGTCGTCATGAGGGTCCTTGGCCATAGTGAGGGTCTTCATGGGCCCCCAGATACATTTGCAGGGCTCTCAGAGGCCTTGGTAAGACCACTAGAGGCCATCGTTAGGGCCCTCAAAAGACCGTTGCAGGGCCCTCCGATGCCAGCATAGCCCCTGCAGCCTGGTTGTGTTGGGGCCCTCAGAGGCCGTCGCTAGGCCGTCTGAAGCCAAATGGGCCCTCAGACTTAAGTTGGGTCTAGGGCCGTCACGAGAGCCCTCAGAGGCCAGCAGGGCCCCTAGAGTCCTGTGGGACCCTCAGCGGTCGTCATGAGGGCCCTTAGTGGTCGTTATAGGGCCCCAGGGGACAGAGGTCGTCGTGAGAGCCCTCAGAGATCGTAAGGGCCTTCAGAGGCCGTGCCGTCATAGGGCCCTCAGAGGCCTTCATAGGGCCCTCAGAAGCCAGCGTGGCCTCTGGAGTCTCCTTGGGGCCCTAGAGTCTCTGTGAGACCCTCAGCGGTCGCCATGAGGGCCCTTAGTGGCCGTTGTAGGGCCCAGGGGACAGGGGTCGTCGTGGGAGCCCTCGCCCCTCAGAGATCGTCATAAAAGGGCTCTCTGAGGCTGTCGTGGGGGCCCTCAGATGCCGCATGGAGCACCAAACGCGGCTCGGAACACTTCTAGTCGGTGTGGGGGCCCCAAAGACTAGCATGGGGCGCCCCTGACCTAATTGGACATCCCGGATGATTCCACATCAATGTTCGTTTCTCGATCACTGGTTTTCAGGAGAAAATGTATTGGATGGTGCGACGGGCCCCTTGTACGAATTTTGGGGGTGCAAAAAGATATGTTTGCACCCCCATGTTTTTCGATGGGGGTGCAGCTGCACCCCCTGCACCCCCTATTCCGCCGCCACTGGAGTCATGTATGTAGATCTCTGGAGGAGTCTCTATGTGGTCGGTTTCCAAGGGGCTTCTAAACACGGTCTTCTTGGAACGGTCTCGTAGGGCCCTCAATGGTCCACTGCGGATCCAGAAAAGTGGTTTGAGACGCTGCGGGTGGTGGCTAGACTACAGGGTGGACCAAAAAGGATGGAAACATTTTGAACTCGCATAAAATGTGTTATTGCATGCAGGTGACTGAAAATGATACCAAACGAGAGTACATTTCGTGGAAATTCATAATGACATCTCTCTCATCTGCTTTCTCTCGTTTTCAGTCTCCCACAGCAAATGTTCGAAGAGGCCACTTTTGCGAGACAGGCAAAGAGCGGCCCGCCTGGCTGCTGACGCGATAGCCCGATGACACATGTCCGCTTGTTTGGCTCGTACAGCCTTGGTGATCACTCTCTTCAGGTAACAGATGCCTTTAGAACCTTCCTTGTAAACCTGGCCTTGAGATGACCCCACAGGAAAAAATCCATCGGGGTCAGGTCAGGTGATCAGACAGGCCAGTTCCGACAGGCACTGCGGGATATCAGCCGGTCACCAAAGTGGTTCTCGCTCCACTTGAGCGTTGTTTCGCGATGTGAGGAAGCGCACCGTCTGGCTGGAATCACATGAGGTCCATGAGACTGCCATACTTCGTTTGGGCTCACTTCAACAACTTCTTTAGCGTCGCTTGGTAGCGCTTTTGGTCGTCAGCCACGGTGTTGTCGCTCCCATCCTCGAGCCGAAGTGGAACTGGCCTGTCTGTCTTTTCATCTGACCTATGGATTCCTTTCCTGTGGAGTCATCTCAAGGGTCAGGTCTACAAGGAAGGTTATGTAGGCCTCTGTTATCTGAAGAGAGTGACCACCAAGGCTGTGCGAGTCATACCAGAGGACATGTGTCATCGGGCTATCGCGTCAGCCGGCAGGCGGGCCGCTCTTTGCCTGTCTCGCAAAGATGGCCTCTTCGAACATTTGCTGTGAGCATGGGTGGAGAATGTTTGAAAAAGTTACCCCGGCCGGCGACCGATAGTCGCGGGAAGACGATATACTCACGTTGTTCTCAACGGTCATCATCAAACCCCTATTCTGACGCATGGAATAGGGTGCTGTGTTTGCTCAAGGATGAGCGTTGTATCCGACACCGTATTATTCATAACATTTTTGGAATGATCGAAAAGGCAATTTCCTTTTAAATTATTATTTCTTTTTACTTAAACTTCCAATTTCACACCGAACCCAAACCAAACCATATGCCATTTTGAGTACCTAAATGTTGCGTTTTCAGCTTTTTATTGTGTCTCAAAATAGCTACAAAAAGACAACTCACCATAGTAGAAGCTTTACAGAGAAATTGACAGATCGAACCAAGCAAAGCACTAAAATAGGTCACTGACATCCACGGGCGTAGCCTTTTTCAATGTTGGGCGGCTCTTATAATACAAACAGGGAGTCGATCCAGGAATATCGACCGGTCCCGGTCTCGTAGCTCAGTTGCTAGAGCGTTGGATTCCGCGTGGCGAGAGCACGCGGCCCGGTTACAACAGTCCGAGTTCGAAGCATGATGGCCGCTCGGTGTTTATGAGCACCCTGACGGGTACGCTCATAAACGGGTGTGGTTGCGGTTGGTGGCAGGTCAGTTGGAGGCAATGAGGTCAAGCAGTAGTTTTGAAAAAGTGCGCCGAAGGCGCGCCAAAATTTCGAAACTGAACAGGATTTGAGAGCAATCTTGGCATTGGCGACCACACGCGGGTCTTAGGGTTGGAGATTATGGCAAGTTAAGTAAATGGTAAATACCTACCTGATTTGCAATATTACGCCCATGGAAGTCAACATTCGAAGAGCGTGAGTTTTCTTTTCTCGTATGGAGACAGCTTTTAGGATTTACAAGAGTAGAAAAGTTACCCCGGCCGCGCCGGGGTAGGCTGAAAGTTACCCCGGCCACGGCCGGGGTGGCCGGGGCAGGTTCTCCACCCATGGCTGTGAGAGAAGGAAAACGAGAGAAAGCAGATGAGAGAGATGTCATTATGAATTTCCACGAAATGTTCTCTCGTTTGGTATCATTTTCAGTCACCTGCATGCAATAACACATACTTTATGCGAGTTCAAAATGTTTCCATCCTTTTTGGTCCACCCTGTAAAAGATTAGCCGATACAAAACTAGCTGCAGTTGCTTCTTTATGCTTTCATTCTTTGAGACAGGTAGGTACACTGCAATTTCAAACCTTTTACAGAACTTTTGTGTATGGGGATAGTTTTCCAAAATCTTCGTTTTTCATAAGTCAATAATAATCACTAAAAAAACTGAAGGGGGCCCAAAACTTCCAGAGGGGCCCCTTGAGAAAACTTTGCACCCCCATCCAAAATTACCTTCCGCCGCCACTGCGTTCGCATGTTTTTTATGTCCGGGCACAGACTTCTCTATACATGGACTGTGCACTGATCTGGCCGAAGTAGCATAAGGGGCCCAAAATTGTGGCAATACGTTTGAAGCATTTGCCAGGGAGCATGGCCATTTTTCTTTGAATTATTCATTTTAACGTTCTGGAACCTTCGCTTAAATGGAAAACAAAACATTTTCCGCTATGTTTTCCCGCCAGAATTGCCAATCTTGAGTCAAAATTCCAGGCTGTGGACTTAAATATCAAGCGAAGATCAGAGGCATGCAAGTGTTTCTGTGCATTTTGAGTTGTGTGTTCAATGGTATAGGTACTGTCATAAAACAGAAAGTTATACTCCCAGCTACAAGTGGACTACTTTTCACCATCGATCAGGTTCAACAAAGACAGTTTTGGTTCCCACACGTATGTATTCGTAACGATTCCCAACGGCCAGCATGGGCACAAACACCGATTTGGTCCACTATCCCAGCCCTTGGGCCGATTCTCCTGGGACGTCTTGGGCCGGCTCGTCAGAAGAGGCAGCAACAGCATGCTCTGTGATCTCTGTGACGGCTCGCTGGTCGTTTTCCAGGCGTTGATGAGAGACAGGGTGCATGCTACATGTTCTTGAACAGGCATGAACTCAGCTCAAGCTCGTTAGTTTGTGGATCTTGTCCGAGTCCACACCGCGCCCACTGGTGCGCGTCGGCGGCCCCTTTCGTTTCTTGCTATGCACTTGGCTGTTCACATCCTTCACGTGGTTAGACACGAACACGTTAAACAGCGCTCCGGCCATGGTGGCGAGGATATTGCTGGTAAACTTGTGCCCCCTTCCACAAGCCACTTCCTTCAGTTCTTCGTCATCACCGAGCATGTTCTGAACCACAGATCTGAACACATTCTTGGGACTTGAACTGCCAAAGAGGATGGTGCGAGTCTCTGACTGTGAATTCACCAGAAGTCTGTAGAGCTGGCAGACCTCCATGACGACTCGCAGGCACAGTTCACTCGGTTGCAGGAGCTTTCCACGGTTGAGGAGGTCGGTGAAGCTAGCAGCCATCAGCTTTTCTTCAGCATTCTCTGCCACCACGGTTACCAGTTGCGCCCTTAGCCCGTCAGAGAGTAGCGCGCGACACTCATCACATCTGTGAATCTTCTTGACTGAGTGGGCTAAATAGCCTGCTATGTGGTGCAGAGCCTGCTGTGTCCCTTCTGGGACGTCTTGGGCTGGGTCATCAGAAGAGGCAGCAGCGGCATACTCGGTGATCTCAGTGACGGCTCGCTGGTCGTTTTCCAGGCGCTGCTGAGAGACAGGGTGCATGCCAGCCGTCACTGTGCTCAGACCATAGCCTGAGAGCCAAATTAGGCTTTTTACGCGGACGATAGCCTCTCCTTCAAAAAATTGACGAGAGCTCGCCCAGGAGTTGCCTCCGGCCAGTTTCCGGAGATGGCCGAAGTGACCTTCTAGCCGGTCGGATTGAATCTTGCCAAGCAGGACATACTCGAGATCACACTGTCTGAGCAGATACTTGGCCAGCCCGACCAGCCCTCGACAGGTTGCTGCCACTCCACGTATCGTGTCGAGCGACATTTGCGTCTTCTTGTTTCCCTGGGCTTCCCAGCGCAGCATCATCTTTCCGAACTTCTCGATGTATGCCAGCCCTTCTTCATCTCCAGTGGAAATAGGCTGCAGAGTCGAGTCGTTGCGACGAACATGCTTCCCAGGGGACTTCACATTGACGATGTCGAACCACCTCCGAACTTGGTGCAGGAACTCTGCTGTACCGTTTAAGGAGCCGTACTCTGCATGTTGCCCATAGTAGTGGAGCGCAGCGATGGTTGTCTCGTGAGTGGCTGCTACGGCGAGCTGCACGCTCACGCGCTCTATGCTTGTTGGATGGAGCACCTTATCCGTGAGTCGGTATGCCATCTTGACATCAGAGCTGTACTCGATGGAGTGTACCTTTTCCAGGTGGCTGAGGTGAACATCCAGAGGAGGCCCACCTGCATCGAGTGGCGGACAGTGCAGTTGTTTTTTGTTCAGGAGGTTGAAGTACATGTTTTTGAACAAGTGGACTGAGTCGTACATGGTGTATATCCTGTCATCACTGTGTGGACTCCAGAGATTCAGGATATACTCCTGATGCCTCCCATCTTCTCCAAGCGCTCGATGGAAGGCTTGGTTTGTTCTGTGTCCGTCAGTTGTAACGGACACTACACGGTACCCAAGATGGGTGAGACATCGCAGGACTTGGAAGAAGATTCTCTTCATTTCTTGGGTTGTGACGTGGGTGACTGGCGACATGGTTACCAAGTCCTCGTAGTTCCCGGCAACCGACGAAATGTGGGTGCAGAACAAGGTACCTACTGGCGACAGCTGTTGCTTCTCCGCTGCTCTCCCCATGCAGTCTTCCTCCCGCCAGATCGAGTGCTGTGGCACAGTAAACCTCGTCCATGGCCAGATTTACCAGCCGTTCTCTTGGAGACAACTTGGCGACCCGCATCTCCAAATACTTGATGGTCCCGATCTCCAGTCCCTCTTGCACGCTTAGTGCTGACGTAAGTCTCCGGAGAGTGACTCTGTGTGGCAGGACCAGAAGACCCGACCTGCGCATGTCTTCATACAGTCGGGGACTCGTTCGGCTCCACACCACTGCAGTGGACATGAGTGTCGTGCTGTACCTCCTCCTTTTTGCTGGACTGAGTCGGAGTTGCAGCTGTTCAGCGGCGAACTCCCCAAAAGTACCGCATGATCCAGCTGCATCGTCCGTGCTGATTTTCTGCAGAAAATGCAGTGCAGTCATCACGTTGCCATCTTTCAAAGACTGTGCCTTGAGGAACGCCAGCACGTTCAGGACCTCAGTCGTCGTTTCGAAGCTCCCGGGAACGCTTGTCAGATCAGCTGCCCTGAGAGTAGGCAACTCGCTCCCGGCTGCGTACAAACGGAAACGAAGATCACTGTAGATCGTCAGGTTTCGTACGATGACTGGAATACCTTGATCTGTGTCAAATGCCTCCATTCTGATCGTCACAATGTCCTCCTGAAGTTCAGGAACATGCATCTGTACGAGCCGGTACCCAGTCGGCAGGTCCACCGTAGAGAGCTTTCTCACCATGTCGGTAAGAGATGCCACGTTCTCGGAACGAAACATGGATGCGGCTTGTTCCTCCCACAGTTCTCTTTGCAGCAGCCTTCGTGCTGTTGGAGTCGCGCGTATAGTGGGTCGTGGAGTCTCCTGTCCGCTCTCATTCCTGCAAAAGGAGAGAAATATTTCACTTAACAACTGCATTTAGCAACGGTTGCAAAATATATGGGAAACAAATTAGCATACATGGGTAATTTGGACATTGCCGGATAAATGCTATAAATTGATAAATGTAGCTCGGAACTTATCTACACAAAAAGAAGTTATATACAGTTATATACACAAAAAGAACAATTCAGCAGCATGTGCGACCCTTTTTAACCGCTATGTATGCATGCAGGTTAACAGTTCGGCCTACGGAGGTCATGTAAGGTCAGCTTGTAAGGTCGGGTCGGGTCAGAAAAGGAAAAGATTAAAATGTGCTGAAACCGACTCCAACTCCGGGCCGTCAGAGTTGTCTGGATCAAAAGTTATTCAAGAAAACCATCAGAAGTAAAAACGAACATTTTTCTTCGGTAACCTCTGGTTGGTGACCCAGTTTTTGACCTGACCGAAAAATGACCGAAGTACTTTCTTACTGTTTTTTTTACCGTTCTTTCGAACGCCGCCTACCGCTTGTCTCTACGACGCCCCCCCCCCCCCCCGGCCCGCTGATGGGGCACCGGCCCGGCGCGGGTTAACGTCTGACATGATCACATTAATGACGTAACAGATCAAAGGTCATTTGAGGTAGAGTTCCCAAATTTTCACAGGTGTCAAAATGTAAAGACCATCCTCAACACCTAAGATGTCCTTAATACCTTACTAATGCCCATATTGCTTTGATGAGGTATAAACATATCAACTTACTTGTCCCGGGGTGGGAGCACTGTTGGAACTGCGGTTGGCTTGAGGCGCCGTCGCTGACGGTCGGTTCTTCTTGTCGTGGCAGTGACACAAAAGTCATCACTGGAAAAGTGGAGCTCACAAACCCCACCACTTTTAGGATATGATTCTTTTACACCTCGTCTGATTGCTTCCAGCCACTTCTTTCGCAATGCACATTCGCGTGGAAAGCTAAATACCGATACCTTTCCCTTTCTCTTGTCACTTCCTCTCCGATGCCGTGTGATTCTATATCCAGAATAACAATTACGTACCTACCGTACACTTCCGTGTCATCAAAAACCCTTTCAAAGGAAAATAGAAAAGATGGAAAATAGACAACTAAAATCATAGGCTAAATATCCTAAATGTGGCGAAGCCTTGCTTAATTTTAGGGCCTTGCCTTGATTGTGGCCAAGGCCGATTGTGGCAGGATTTCCAGAAAATAAAGAATGGGCGCAAAATGACCTTAGCAGTCGGCGCGCCCTAAAGCCCCAATCAACAAACAAACAAACCAGAAAATAAAGAATTTGCGTGCAACTCATTGGTGCTTATTTGCGGGAGATACCTCCGATATTCTCAGATATCATTTACCACTACTATTTTCATGAAAACTGTTATTGTTTTTAACGATTTTTTTTTTGTTTATATCAAAATCAAAACATTTTTTTACTTACTAGACAGATAAAACTTCAAACAATATCCATGTTAAATTTTGCCAGGTTTGCAGGGTTCTTAATAAGTTAAAACTAGGTTCACTTTTGGGCCCCTTATGCTACTTCGGCCAGATCAGTGCACAGTCCATGTATAGAGAAGTCTGTGGTCCGGGTGATGCAAAAATAAGTATACACATGAACATAAGGTGCAGAAGAATAGAGCAGAAATAGCTTACCCTCGTCCCCAAAAGGTAATGCATGGTAGTGGCCCACCTCAAATGTTATTGATTATCAAGAGCCACCTCATGACACGTTGAGTATAACGATTAACCCTCTCTTAGGAACTAGTCTGTCATCTTGACTGCTAACACGTGGTTGTGGCACATGTCTGTTCATCAAACAGCCACTGTTGCGAGTCACCGGGTCTGCGGGATCACCCAGTGCACTGAGAACGTCTGTGCAACCGCATAACTTAACTCGTCTGGCGAGTCCGGTATAGTTCGCGTGGGCGGTAGTGAAATTTTGAGATGGTTTGACTCGGCCGCTATTATGGTGACAACGGTAAAAGTTTACACGAGACATTGTTATACTCGTATGTATCAATTTGTTTATTCGATGCCCCCGAGAACATTCTTTGCAGCTTTGAAATGGTAGGAAAAATATAAGCGTTTAATTATTTCAACTCAATTTCTCGCCTTATTTTCATCGAAAAAACAGCCTTCCGTTCAAATATAGCAAACCTCCGTGTTGAAGTTCGATGTCCCCGGAGAACAACTGCATCATCTTTTCCCCTTCCCTCACGTCGCAAGACACTTATATCACCCCTCTCCCCTCCCTCTGACGTCGCAGGACGTCGGTGCTGTTTGTCTCCGTGTCGTTCATCCTGCTGATGGTCATCTCGCTCGCCTGGCTGCTTTTCTACTACGTGCAGCGATTCCGCTACATCCACGCCCGAGATCAACTCACGGTGAGTTTAGGATCAGCTCACGGTGATTTAGAAACAGCTCACGGTGAGTTAGAAACAGCTCACGGTGAGATTGACGTTAAGTGAGTTTGGGATCGAAGTCGAGGGACGGGAATAGGGCTCAATAAATTAAAGCAATTGAGCGCCTGATGGTACGACCTTCTGCTGTTCGTGTATTCCATAGCTTATCTGACCTTTTCTTCACCATGGACGTCGTAAAACGAACGATCCTTTACTTCAGCATAACGTATCCTGTCCCACGGCCCACGCTGTCCCATCGCTTTGACCTGCGCCCGCCGTCTGCCGTGTTACAGAAGCGACTGGTGTGCGCCGCCAAGAAGGCCGTGTGCCGCATCCCGGTGCGGATACTGAAGGCCGACGACGCCCAGCTGGCGGAGGGAGAGTGCTGTGCCGTCTGTCTGGAGCCGTACCGCGTCTCCGACCACCTGCGGGCGCTTCCGTGCAGGTAAGATCCCGAACACTGCCGAGTTGGACCCCGATCAGCTGCCGCCCTCCCGGGCAGGTCAGACCCCGACCAGCTAATGCAGCTAACACCCTGACCCTGAGCGCTCTACGGTGCTCGTTTCGTTAGACACCGACCATGGCTGCGCTCTTCCCTTCATGCAGGCAAGACCACAATTAGCGCCCTCCCGAGTAGGTACGAGACCCGACCGTAAAAGAGACGTTTCCCGCTGCCCACCGGACAATGGAAATCTCGGGAATCTACGAGTCTCTTCAGCTCTCCGTAGAAATTATATAAGACGCCAACCACCGTCCCACCACGGATCGCTGATCCAGCTGGTTTCCCGTAGGACGAACCTGGCCAATGGCCGAGTGTATCTCGTTAGTGCAACGAAAGGTCAACGTCGGCGGGGCTTCAACGGCGTCAGCCAGCTCTGAGAACGACGATGCCTTTGTGTGGATCGCTATTCGTTACCAGAATATGCTTGGGCTTGAGGCAAGGAATAAAATACTCAAAGAAAATATTTGTGTTTAGGTCTAATAATGCTATGTGGGGGGGGGGGGGGGGCGTTATGTTCCCTCTCTCATTTTGCAAGAAAAAAACGTTGTTCTTGCACACCTGAAGTGATCCTGAACATCCAACTTCTTGGACCCGTCTGGAAAAGAAGTTCGACTTTAGTCCCAAAGGACAAAGCTGGAGGTCCTTGTTGAAGTTTCAGGTGCTCATTCATCACTTAAACTTGTGCAATGTTCGTAATGAAAAGCTCAGCCTTGTTAACCTACTTTGTTTGTTTTCAGTCACGAATTCCACAAGCAATGCGTGGATCCTTGGCTGCTGAAGAACAGAACATGCCCAATGTGCAAAATGGATATACTGAAGTACTTCGGGCTGGTAAGTGCGGTGTGTCAATGGGACTCGCTCGGTCACTTATACAGTGTATTTGAAATAATCTTTTAGCATGGGCTCTTCCTCCAACTGATTCCACTGCGAATCAAAGCTAAGTCACATGCTCCTCCCTGTCCCAGCCACAGCCATTGTGAAACCGACCCATGTAAATGACCCTAACACGCGCGGAGCATCATGTGACCGGCTGCACATCCCCGAGTCACATGCAGGCATCATGTGACCCCTCCTGATGCTGACGACACAGCTACCCCCATGAGTTTTGTCCCATGACCCGTCAATACGGGCACCCCTGTCTCCAACCGATGCTGTAGCTTGTATAAGGGTATATGGACCGATATGGGCAGCGCGTGCAGTTAGAGGCACTGTCAGGCCCACGGCGACAGACGTGGTTTCTTGTTAGCATGGGAGAGGGGCTGTTACAAGCGGCGGCCCGTTACTGGTTAGCATTGACAGTGGGGGTGGTCCTGGTTCCTCCGGCAGGTCCGTTACTTTTTAGCATGGGAAGCGGGATGACTGGTACTGGGTGCCGATAGGGAGACGGGATTCTCTGTAACCAGGCGGAGAGGGTGGTGCTATGACCAGCCCGTGAACAAGACGACATGGGTGAGCGATACCGTGCCAGTTGCCGACGGCGCCGTAGAGAGTCTCATTTGAATAGACCGGTTCGGGCCCGAGGGCTCACGTGCTTACCGGCCATGTGACCACAGTCAGCTGACTGAGTGTGCTCATCTGATGACGCTGGTGATAGCGAGTCATGGGAGGGAAAGGGTAGGTAGCACGAGGCATTGTTTGCTAAGTGCTGTTTGGTTGCTGTGTAGCCAGCTGGGGCATTCCAGGACGATTCAACAGCTCATGGGTGCAAATTAACACCCGACCCCCTCAGATTTTCTTCAAAATTGCTATATAGGGTTATTCTGTGCCCGGAAGCCGAATCTGAGATTTTTAGACCTGTAGGAGCAACGGTTTTTGAGTTATAACATTGGGAAATTTTGAAAGTTAAAAAACATCATTGTATTTTAGTAGCTATATGAATCTAAACGAAAACTTTTTTAAACTATAAAAATTATACATATTTGAACTCGCCACATCACAAGCTTCGACACATCGACACGAATACAAAGTTCACTGTAGTCTCGAATTTGTCACTTAAAAACTCAAACATTTCGGTCGCGTTTGTGATTTGCTCCCTTGTGGGCCTGCGTAGACTCTCGAGAGCGGTCGCTCTCTTCACGGTGCCTCCCACGCCGTCACATGCGCCTTTCCCGTGCGAGGTGGCAAAAAAAATTGCCAGTCGCAGTCTAGCCCAAGCCCCAAAATCACTTTTGTTAGCGCAGATATTTGAAAAGTTGAAGCGGTTTTTGAACTGTGCTGCTGAGCCGTCTGAAAAGTATCTGATTTTAGTCAAAGACGGAATTTTTCATTCAGTCGTGGAATCGGAGCCTTTTGGAAAGCATGGACAGCGGTCGTGTTGTGCTTTATATTATCTGAGATAATGCAGAAGCTCTGGTGCTGTTCCTCTCCACTCTCCCTCCAGTACACCACGAACGGGTGAACGGTGCACTGTGGCGCGTCCCAGTGATGACTCTGCACCTCATCCTGTATGACGAACGTGTAGTTCTCACTGAAGTCCCCAACGACAACGGCCTCTCCCTCCACAACACTTTCTTTACACTCCTTAAATGCCCTACTCCGCATGGACCGGCGCGTCGTCTGTCACCGCGCCAAGGCTCATTCGAGCGAGCCGAGCTCGCAGTGACTGGTCTGTCACAGGCGCAGATGATATAGCGATAGGTTTCGGGATGGGCCAAATGGAAATTTGGAAACGGAGACAAATGTAAAAATTATTCATTTCATTTCACTCATTACTCTAGTATAGCCATATATCATACAATTTTATTAGGTAGGTATTTTAATGTCGACATAGAAACAGCAACTTTACACATTGACCTTGGCATTGGCCTAATCTGACCTGATTTGGTCCCGAATGGTCAAATGTACATCACCATTGACTTGGAATCGGAAAATAACCCATAAAACATGTGTCGCATGTCCCTAATCCCTGTTTATTTATTCATCATGACCTTTGGTGACCTGATTTTGACCTTGACCTCACCTTGTGATTGCATATTTACTGATTCACCGCCTTTATAAATATGTTGGACGCATGCTGTGCGATTTTCACATCGCTTCATCATTATGAAAGTGCCTCGGGAGCAGACTTGTGACAGCTCAAGAAAAAAGTGAGCTCGCTCAGATCAACTCCGTCTTATCCGCTCCCGCTCAGCTCCCGCTCAGTTTACCGCGGCTCAGCTCAGCTCACGTTCCGCTCAAACCCGCTGCGCTCCGCTCACGCTCAGCTCAGCTCAGCTCAGTTTCCGCTCAGCTCAGTTCAGTTTCCGCTCAGCTCAGTTTCCGCTCAGCTCAGCTCAGTTTCCGCTCAGCTCAGCTCAGTTTCCGCTCAGCTCAGCTCAGCTCAGCTCAGTTTCCGCTCAGCTCAACTCAGTTCCCGTTCAGTTCAGCTCAGTTTCCGCTCAATTCAGCTCAGCTCAGTTTCCGCTCAATTCAGCTCAGCTCAGTTTCCGCTCAGTTCAATTCACGCTCAGATCGTTCAGTCGTTCTTTTTAAATCAGACATCGGCAGGCGGTGGGCCTCCCGGCCACATTCCGCGCGGTGGGGGGGGGGGGCATTTTTTTGCCCCCCCCCCCGTATCTCCGAAACTACTGGACAGATCCGGAAAATTCAAACGGCGTTCGATAGCCCTGTCAAATTTGTTGAAGGAAACCAAATTTCATTGACCTCGGGGTCACCGATGACGTCACAGGTCAGGTCAAAGATAAAATGTTTCACCGCTCACGGGGCTTCTAGGGAAAGCGCTATAACACCGAGTACTTAAACGCATTTTGTCGAAAATCAGCGATAGGGCGTCAGTTTAGTACATATGTTGCTATAAGAGGTCACTGGTCATACCAGGTCAGGTCACAGGTCAGGTCACCAGAGATCACCAAGGGTCACCACATGAACCCAACTTAACAAGGTTGTGCGATGCATGTTTTATGGCCAGTTTTTCATTTCCAACTCAATGGTGTTGGTTATAAGACCATCAGGTACGGTTTAGGTCACTTTCTGGTGGAGGTCAGGTCAAGGTCAGGTCAAAAAAGGTCAAATTTAAAGTTGATATTTCTGCATAAAATGGGTAGGGTAGCCTGGGGCAAGACGCCCCAGATAATTTATTTTGCTACATAAATTTTGTCCCACATCACCTGAAAGGCCAAATTTGTGCTCAATGCGTTCTTTGGACATTTTACTTTAAATTGCACCCCTCAAATTGATTCACTTATGATCGGACTCCAAGCTAGGAAGTGATTTGTGAAGCAACTGCAAATGGGGCATTTTGCCCCAACCCCAGGGCAAAACGCCCCACGGCCTGGGGCAAGTAGCCCCATACCTTAGATTAAAGATTTAACATGGTAGTTGGCTAAATCTTATGTGAGAGGTCCGTTAGACCTCTGGAGGCACGGCACTGAAGTTAGCACATTCCATCCTGTCAGGTGCTCAGCATATGACACTGTTGTATGAGCAGGTTTTTCACCTACCTCATAAGACCAAATAATAAATTATTGCAATGCAAATGTTAACAAAATACTTCCTTTGCCATCCAGTTGCTGAGAAAAATACACATAAAGGCACAGAAACTTACTGTTCGCCAGCTACCGAACATTAGAAAGTGGGTAGCCCCAACAACACAAGAGGTAAAACGCCCCAGGGGCTTTTTGCCCCGCGACCTACTGGGGCGTTTTACCCCATCACGTAGTTCGGTCAGAGAACAACGCCTTGCACTCCAGTAAGACATAATTTAACACGAACCAACCCGGCATGATAAGCGTTAGACAATAGTTGTTCAAAATACATAAAAGTCGTTAACCTAATGTGGACCATAAAAGAACGCCATGATTCATAATCTGACAACAAAACATAAAAATCACTCAAAAAACACATTTTTGGCTATATCTCCCGAAAGAGTCATCACAATTTCTTTCCAGTCTGCTCATATAATGATAATATAGTGCACGTTTTATAGAAGAGATGATGTTTCCCCAGAACCCTGCCAGTTCCGAGAAACATCGGTGAGGCGTTTTACCTCGGCGGGGCGACTTGCCCCGGTCTACCCTATTGATTCGATGCAGCTTGTCACGGGGAGTCTAATGGTGGTCTTTGTTTTGCGCTACGAGGTCAAGAATTGCTAAAAATTGAGTTTGAAAATTTGACGTCATCAATTTTGAACAGTTTTTTTCGCTATAACTTGGCCAAAAAAGAGGTATCGATCTCAAATTTAGTATGTAGATAGAAGGCCGTAGGGACTATCACATATCTTCTGGTTTTTCGAAATTTAAAAAAAAAAAACTTTTTGGATTTTTCGGCTATTATATTAAATAATCTATTTTTTATTTTTGGGGTCAAAATTCAAAAATTTCAAAAATCTGAGATTGCAGGTTTGTAGCCCTTCAAATTTTACACCTTTTATGTCTGAATATTTTTCTGTATCTCTAAAGCTGTAGGCCTGACAGCTCTTCTCGCGAAACCTTTTTTGAGGTCGAAAATGGCAGAAATGACGTCACTCTGACGTCATTAGCGTCCAACCTATCATAGCCTTTGGAAAAATTTTAGTCACAATGTGCAATAGCTGTACACGGGAGGGTACCGAAAGTTTGGTGACGGATCGGTGCAGCGGTTCTTGAGATATATCGAAAAAACTAAAGGGGGGGGGGGCAAAAAATGCCCCCCACCACCGCCTGGAAAGTTAAAAAACAGACCAACTCTTGGCACATAAGTAAGTCTCCTCTAACAAGGAGCGAGGCAACTTACACAATGGGCAAAATAGATAAGCTCATTAAGACCTTGAGACTGCGAGTCGTGCGTCTACTTGGACTCAGACTACATGAAATGGACTGTTCTTGGCAGTGTTATCACATGTTATCACAGTGTGCACCCGCGACAATCACCGCAGTGCACTCACGACTGGCACATGACGAGCATCAATGGAAACATGTTCTGTTCATGGCTAAATATCACATAAAATTCACCCGCAGAGGAGCCCGTCTTATCAGCTGGCTCCAGTGAGCACAGCTGAGCACAGCTGAGCTGAGCTGAGTTGAGCTCGCTCAGCTCAGCTCAGCTCAGCTCAATCAGCTCAGCTCAGCTCAGCTCAGCTCAGCTCAGCTCAATCAGCTCAGCTCAATCAGCTCAGCTCAGCTCGCTCAGCTCAATCAGCTCAGCTCAGCTCGCTCAGCTCAGTTCAGCTCAATCAGCTCAGCTCAGCTCAGCTCAAGCTCATTCAGCTCAGCTCAGCTCAAGCTCATTCAGCTCAGCTCAGCTCAAGCTCATTCAGCTCAGCTCAGACAGCAGCTCAGCTCAATGCATTACTGAGCCGGCTCAGCTCACAGCTCAACAATTTGGCAAAATGTTGAGCCGGCTCATGAGCTGAGCTGATTTTTGAGCCGGCTCAACTGAGCTGATCACAAGTCTGCTCAGGAGCAGCCGGGGAATGAGAACCTGGAATTTTGGTCATTGACCTGACCTTGACCTGACCCGTGACCTTTAAGAACAACATTCGGACAATGTCTAGATCCATCTCGTTGAGATCTTTCCATTGCCGCCTCGTCCGGCGCGCTACGATCATCCGTTCCCGAGATAGCACCGTCGGCACCATATCAAAGCAAAATGGTATATTTACATGGAGAAAGTAAAAAAATAAAATAAAATATTTATTTTAAAAAAATACCTATCTCCAATTTTCACAATACAGTTTCCCAATACCCTAAGCATAAATAAAAGCTATAAAAATAAATTTTATTTAACTGGCCACACTTCGAAAAATTTGAAATAAATTTTTGAACAATTTTCGGAAAATTAAAGATTCAAAATTTTGAAAATTTTGCATACCATCAGAAAGCTTGTGATGTGGCGAGTTCAAATATGTATAACTTAGTTATAGTTTAATAAAAGTTTTCGAATAGATATAGCTAGTAGCTACTAAAATACAATGATGTTTTTTAACTTTCCAAAATTTCCCAATGCTATAACTCAAAAACTGTTGCTTCTACGGGTCTGACAATTTCAGGTTCGGCTTCTGGGCACAGAATAACCCTGTACAGCAATTTAGAAGCAAATCTGAGGGGTCGGGTGTTATGCAGCTGTTGAATCGTCCTGGAATGCCCCAGCTGACACCTTTAGAGGAAAGTAAAGCGTATGAGCAGAGGAACGGGTAGAAGTTTAAACAGAAACAAAACTAAAGCAATGGTTCAGCCGCATCACAAATCGATTCTGGTATGCATAGTTTAAATACCTAATTGAATACCATTTACGAGTGAAATGCGTACCGGTAATTCAGTGGGCTTGCAATATTCAGAAATCCGCTAAATTGGAAGATCGTTAAAGCTGTGATAGTGTATAACTTGAACGGTGATGCCTAAGAAACTGAGAGCCAAGGAAAGGGCTCGATGAAACACGTGAAGACGATAAAATATAATCATTTCGACAACCGTCGCACGAACCGCCACACTGTCATCCGCTGACCGTATGTGGCCCATGTGACCTCAGCTGACAGTGAGTGACCTGTGTGACCCTTAAATGACCTGTATGGCTCCTGCTGACAGTACGTGACCCATGCTGACAGTGCATGACCCGTGTGACCTCTGCTGACAGATGTGACCCATGCTGACCCCTGTTGGCATTTTATGATCCTCTGACCCCTGCTGGCATTATGACCCTAACTGACCCCCTCGCTGACCCCTGCTGACACTGTACGTGACCCGTATGACCCCTTCTGACACTGTCTCCCCTCTATGACCTCCAGAGCTCGGTCAGTGAGGAGAGTATCGTCCACCTGGAGCTGGAGGGCGTCTCCGTGGCGCAGAGGCGCGGCTCCCCTCTCTCGCCGGTGCTGTACGTCAGCAGCCAGCCGGCCGGGGCGGTGCCGGGGACCCGGTCCCGTACCGTCAGCCGCGCCAGCCTCCAGAGCGTAAGTACCTACATCGAGCGGTACTGCAGGGGTGGCAGTGTGGAAGGCAGGAGCCAATTAATTGTTCAGCAGTCGAAATGCAGACAAATGGGCATGGAACGGCACCAGAGGCCCACCAGTAGGATTACATAGATGGCACCAGTGCCACTGTGCACTGTGACGTTAGGTGAACGAAGAAAATAACGTAGCGCCCGCACCACCTCGAGTTTGCAGCAGCTTTTCATTAATTAAATGTGGAAGTATATTTACGGGCCACTCCGAAAGCTCTACGAAGCTTTTGGTAGCTAGGAAGGAGAACCTTAGCCACAACAAGCCCTGAAACTGTGCGCCACCTACGGCTGAACCCCGGTCCCAGTACCCCAGCTCAGCCCCCACTAACTGCTCGTCCCTCCAACAGATGTCTCTGGTGATGCCCAGCCCAGCCTGTGTGGAGAGCCTGCACGGCCACGGACCCACAGCAGCCCGGTGTCGGCGGGTGTCGGCCGCGCTGGCGGCCGGACGGCGTCAGGAGCCGCCGCGCCGAGCCTCGGCACCGACCCAGTCCCCCGGTGGCGGAGGGGGCCGAGAGGCCCTGGCCCGGTCTCTGAGCACCCCCACCGGCCCGGCGGCGGGCACGGTTGGAGTCGGGTCACTGGTGACCAACGCCTGTGAGTTGAACTGAGTGTTGTTTGCATGATATAACTTATATGTCAAGCGCGTAGAGATAAGTCAAGAGAGGACCACCACAAACAAGCTTGGAGGATGGGCGTATGATAAGTGGAGTTCGGTGTCTAGAAAGCACATTTCCTGAGCCACTTTTGTAGTCAGAGCTCGCGGTCGGTTGGGATGTATCATTTACGGTTAGACGACATAAGACCGTATGCCGTTCGGTGTTTCGTGATTACTAAGCGCTATGTCCCATTTTCAGATGAAGTCATTGCTCTTCCATGCTCATCGGGTCCCATTGAAACGGCCATGCGTCGCCGCTGCCAGCGTCTGGGCAGAGCTGACACCAGCCACACCCCTCAGGACAGCTCTGAGAGCTTCGAGACGACTGTCCTGGATCAGCCGGCCGCTGCCGCCGCCAGCCCGGTCCCCGTGAACCAACAGCATGACCAGCCACCGACCGAGGCGACACCTGCCGACTGCGATACTAGCGCCTCTAGTGAAGAACCGCAGCAGCACGCTGATGTTGTTTGTCATGTTGAAGAGGCTCTGAATGATGAAAAAGTTGACTGAACGGTGAACGCAGTGAACATTAAGGAAGGAATGAAAATCTTAGAAAAGAAGTTCAACAGACTCTTGCGCTAGAGTTTGGGCTACTGGTCGCCGAGACTTCCTTTGTAAGAAGGTCTGTGTTGACAACAGCTCAACCATAGCAGGTAGCCTCTCATGGGATAACGGCGATGAGGATACGACTACAGTCCTACCGCTAGTCCGGTAGGACTATAGTTCTGAGACTAGTGAGTGCCTATATATAGGTACTCGTAATTCGTCACAGTGACCGAAATTATTTATGTTTGCCGTGAGGAAAGCGTACTACGGCCAGTGTCATAAATCATAATGCATCACTACGATCGTAATATTTATATTTTGAGCTGTTAGGCGTTTCCTTGTTGAACTATAACATGTAACATAAATAACATGTTACTTTCAAATTCATTAATCATTAGGTGATGCCCATTTCATCTATAAGTTAGTATGTATGACGTCTCTGTAAGGAGATTGGTTGCAGCTGGAGAATGCTGAATGGATCATGTGTTCATTGTATTTCAGTGCCATGTTATGATTGTGATATAAGCAAATGTGGCCCGGTGCACGCTGGGTTCAAATCAGTGGGATGCATAAATTAAGAATGCGTCTGTTCTCAGCGAGACTTTGGCTACAACTGGCAGATTCTATAACCATCGAGGTTACGAAATTATGTGATGATTGAGAGTTCAGAATCGGTCGAGGTAATATGTTGTATCCAAGGCTGTATGTTGTATCCCACCAAATGGTCGGAATATGAACGTAGAAGTGGCATAAACGCTACGTGAACCTCAGTAAATAAAATCGGTAGAAGCGTGATGAGCGGTTGCTGAGTTAGTGAAGAAGTATACAGTAGCCACTCAAAAGCGTTGCCGACCGGGCCGGGCCGGGCCGCCCATACTGAGATTTTTCCGTTATACTTTATAGTGAAAAGACTTTGCTCGCTCCGTAATGAAGCTTACTTGTCGAAGAAGTATAGGAATTCGTGTAATTTTTATAACTGCAATGCTCGTCCCGACGGATGTGTAATCTGCGGTCTGGAAAAAGAGAAAGTACTATTTTAATGAGTGTACTGGTAGGTAAGAGGGTGAATACATAAATAACAGCAACTAAAATAATGTCAATGGTGCTGCCTGCTGGTATGTACGAAGTAAGTTCTCTTTAGTAAAAGGTCATCATAAGAGCAAAAATGTTACTTATGCTTCCTAGCGGAAGACGTTTCGCCGTCTTCCGCTATCAATATGCCGACACGGACGAAAGACGAGACTTGATAGGTCAGGGTTTCGTTAAGAGTCAACGTCCATTTCAGGGCTTTTAAGAGCTTATCTGATCGTCTCTTTCCAACCCTCGCGCCCTAAAGAGCGGAATATTTCACTCTAAATTATTATCTGAAAAAAGAAATTTTACAACACTGCCAGCACCTGCATATCGGACTCGATCGTCGCGTCGGCGAGTCCCGGCTCAATGACACGTCGCCCAGACCGGGTCGATGTGCGATGGACCACAGACGCAGGTTAGTATGTGTGTGTGTGGTGGGGGGGGGCTGCCGATGTACCGCCGGCGCAGGTTAGTATGTGTGTGTGTGGGGGGGGGGCTGCCGATGGATCAGGTTAGTGTGTGCACGCCTGGACGACGGACCGATGGCTCCACGCACCGGGACGGCGCTCACCCATCGACCGGGTCCATTGATGAGCGATGAATTATATACCGGCGGGCAGCGATCAGTCAGGTGTATCGGCCAGTAGGGAGGGGGCGGGGGCGGGGTGACGGCCGGACGGAGCACTAATGGAGCAGGCGGGTCAGGCAGTGCTGTGAAGGGATATTCGTATAACACTTCCTTGTGTGTTGGCAGGTGAAAGGATCGAGTGAGTGGAGGCAGGAGGAATGTAAGCCAAAACCTGTCCCCTCTCATATTTCATAAAATCATGGAATGGTAACAGGGTTTATTGCTATCGCGATATGAAGCCAATGCCAAATGGTCGTTTCGACTAAGTAAGTCGCCAAATCGCTACATTTTTATTGTTGACTAATTAGAATCATTTAAATAAATCACTTCGATGATGCAAATGTACGTAAATATCGCGTGATATGGCGAACTATCAACTAAGCTACAATCGATAGGCCCAAGGTGTTGCCAGTTGCTCAGGGCCGTCTGCAGCCCTCCATCGTCAGTCACTGGATGTTGGACATAGAATCCGTTCTCGTACGACAGTAGGGCGTCTTATGACCTTCAAAACACTCAGCGTCCGAACCACAGGGGACCCAAGCCTTTTATGCCGCTTGTTTGGATTCTCGTACGGTTTCTCGTCCATTTATGCAACATTTTCCGTCGTATTTATGAAACAGCCGACAGCCATCGGCTGAAGCTGGAATGAGTTTCGGCTTTCGTTGAAGAATCACGATGTAAGATATGTAAGAGTAAGATTAATTATTTCTTATAAACTAGTTACGTAACGCCATTGTCTTTGGGGGGGGAGTATAACATACCTAGGGGAAGGTGGGGTAAGACGGACCAGCTAAGGTTTGAGGCCGCATATCTTGCTACACTGCTCTCGTAATTCATATTATTTATAGTCTTCGGAATGCTCAATCCTTCCTCTGTTGATATGTGTAAAGACTAAATTTCAAATAAAAGACATCTAGGTGGTGGATGCTCTTAAAGAGGGACATGTCAAAAACTCAGACAAGAAAAAACGTGGGGTAAGATGGACCACCCAGCAGTGCCTGCTATCCGTTCATGTGTGTTACACTTCTGCTCTGTACTCTTGTAAGAAAAAGTAACCAGAATGGTAAAATAACAAAATGAGCCTTTATTCTTTACTCATGTGTGATGGAAGTGCATTTAAAAGCTGGGAACATGTGTGTTGAGTGTCGTTTGGCATGAATGCATGCTAACTGAGCACTTGCATGCATGGCTCACATGCAACAAAGACTCCTTCCTGAAAAATTAGCATACTTAAACTTGTGTCAATGTTTTGGAAAAGAACTTTCCATATGCAGGGTACAATGGACCACCACAGGGTAAGATGGACCACAGTGGTCCGTCTTGCCCCAAATCTAAATTATGTCATAATCATGACGAATATGTCAAAAAGCCCAACATTGCAAAACCTTGCCTTTCCTAAAGTGTGACTATAACTAAGTTTATAACTTTGTTCTTCACAGTTAAGTGCAAAATAGAAACTAATCATGCAAGAAAGGCGCCGTAATTGAATCACCCGTAGCCCTCTTATATTAGATCGGTTTGACGAAAAACAACATTTTTCTCAATAGCTCAAAAGCTATGCATCCTAGCAGCATGAGCTCAAGGTGGCCATTGTTACGAAGGAAAACAAACAGTGAGTGCATAAAGCAGTAGATACCAGCAGCGGTTCAGCCGGGAGGGCTGGTGGTCCGTCTTGCCCCGCTGGGCCGTCTTACCCCACCTTCCCCTACTATATACTACTACAGACTACTATAAGGTTAGAATAGTAGTCTGTTTTGCCAACGAATCCGTAACACATATGCCCGTCGACCGTCGTTCACCATCCAGCTATTACAGGTCCTATATATCTAACCCGCGTGCTATAAAATTTTGTAAGTATAATAGGCATTCGTTTTGATGACCCATTAAAGGTAGGTACTGTTTAAAATAAATAAATGCACGCAGCTCGTGTAAACAAATCGAGTAAAAAATTAACGTGCCCCTCCCTGTCATCCATTCAAGCCCTTCAAATCGCCTACCTTATACGGCCTTGGCCTACCTCAAGGACCAAGTTGTTATCAGTTGGCACGGGCCGGCCCGGGGATCGGTCGTTGGCTAGGTGGGCGGCGCATGCGACGGCCCGTGCGTGGCACGTGTTCGTTACTATGCGCTCCGATGGTTGTCATTGGCACGGGGCCATCCACATAAACAGCTGGCCTGACCTGGCCGACTCGTCTGCATGTAGGTCGATGTCGGCTAACCGGACTTCCGGTAGATTAATTGCATTCGCTTGTGCTCTAGATCAGCTTCAGAGCACAAGTGAGGCGCTTGCAGGCGCTTGCAACGATTCATATTCCATGAGCGGCTTAAATATGACAATTAAATAAGATTTCACATTTTCTCGCTACTAGAGATTGGGAGCAGACTTAAGTATGTAAGATCGCTTCGTCTAAACCTGCTTCGTCCCTAACCGTGTACCAAATATGAGCGCAATCGGTTGAGCCATTCTCGAGGTCTGGAATCGACCCCTGCACGTGCGCACGGCACGTGCAGCAGCACCCCAACTCTGGCACATGTAAATCAAATGCATTTTCTAGTGTCTATTGAGATATCGCAATAGCTACAAAACTGACACCTCTTCGTTTTGCACGTGGCGCGTGCATAAGGCGTCACCCACGGGGTCACGCTGTACCTAACTGAAACAAACAGAGGACCAAACAGTTACCTACCAGAAACGAAATTAGCGGTGAAAGCTGATTTAGCGCTTTTGCCTAGAAATAAAGCAGTAGGTATGCGTTGGAATGGACTGGTCGATCAATGATCATTGAGCACTTTTAAGGATTAAAGCATAAATGGCCAAAAGGATGGCGAAAAGTTTCATGAGTTTACAGTTTCACGAGATGTAAGCGTCATCCTGAGGGGAAATCTTTTGAAAACGTCCATTTAGAGATCAAACGTCCCCTGAGTCATTTTTGAAACACCTTGTGTCATCGCTGACGTAGGTACTTCTAAGTGCTAACTCAGAAAACTAGCCGCCCCCGCCCGACCTGGCCTGCTGACAAGTGGCCGAAGCCAAGTCACTCAGATCCCCATTCCGACCAGACTCGGTGTGTGTGACGCGGCGACGCCACTGGACGAAGCCAAGCAGTCCGGGAATGGTGGACGGGACGGGTGCCAGACATTCCTACCGACTGCTGACGGACGTCATTGAGCCCCCCCCTCTGACGTCAGCACGGGAGGGGGGGGCTCCTCCCGCGAGATATTCACCGGATGTGGGCGGCGCTTCTGGAAAATACCGGACCTGCCCCGGAGTAGGTATATCGGGCCAAATTAATTCACATCATACGGAACAGGGAGAGACAAAGAATGTCCACATACAGAACGCAAAGTACTGGCTGGGGGCGAGAGAAGATAGCATTATAAAATAAATTGTAAAGGAAGAGAGAGAGAGAGAGAGAGAGAGAGAGAGAGAGAGAGAGAGAGAGAGAGAGAGAGAGAGAGAGAGAGAGAGAGAGGAGAGGGAGGGAGGGAGGGAGGGAGGGAGGGAGAGGACAGAGAGAACGAGACAGAGAGAGAGAGAGAGAGAGAGAGAGAGAGAGAGAGAGAGAGAGAGAGAGAGAGAGAGAGAGAGAGAGAGAGAGAGCAAGAGAGACAGAGAGAGACAGAGAAAGAGAGAGGAGGGAGAGAGGAGAGAGAGAGAGAGAGAGGGAGAGAGAGAGTTTAGACAGCTCTGATACCTATTACCTACATTCAATTTTAAACAAGGATGTTGAAATTTCTAACTTTGCTGCATTGTTATCAATACGAGAAATTAATTTCACGTCCGAAACATATTCCAAGCCGAATAAGTTATGCCTAACCCACTCAGTCTTAAAAAAATAAATGTAGGCAGTGCTGGCAGGTATGGTTTAAAATGTCGTAAATACGAGCTCACTTTCATGACAATTCAGGGTTTATAAGGTGAACTGCGATGCGCATGTTAAACGTTGAATGTTTCCACGAACTTTTCGCCGGAAGAAAGCAGGTTCAATCCACCCGTGTTGGTTCAGTATTCAATGCAGACTTCGATACCATCACGTCCAATGACTCAATGCCCTGCAATCTGCATGCATTACAGTCTGCCAGGACATCCCAT